TAAGTTGGAACTTTACCATAATTAGATTTCTTAGTCCAATCTGGTTCTTATTGTTTTCTTTTAGGATCTAAATAGTAATAAAATAATAACTAGCTAAAATGACATCTATTGCATTAGTGGCAATGAAATTTTTATTTTATTTTAATCCCATAATTGGTTTATCATCCAATTTTGGTATTTAAGGTTTAGTATCAGAATGTTAATGACCAAGATCAATACTTCTATGAATTGATCCCTTTTCTGCCCATATATCTAGACTATTATTTCCCATATGTTTATGTTTAATTGGTTCTAATTTTTCTAGAATTTAATATGATTATTACAATTTTTAGATTTACCCAAGATACCACTTTCTGATCTATATCTATTTTATTGAATAACATATGATCCATTTATATTTGTGACTGGAATAATTAAAGATTGAGTTCCAAATGTACTACCAGTTGGAGCAATAGTTCCTGGAATTGTAGACTTATATAATTTAGTAATTTTCTTAGGAGGAGTTTTCTCTTTTGGTATTAAGTTATAAATGCTTTCTTGCATATAATTATATAATAAAATTTATTGAAAATAATTGTTTTTAAAGAAATAAATAAATTTATTTAATTATATTAAAGAGTTTCATGGCATCAAAAGTTAAAATAGAATGCATAAAATAAGGATATTAAATTAGTAATGAAATGAAAATAGATATTATGGACTTTTATAATAGATCATTACATTAAGAACATTATGCACATAAAACTGATTATATAAGACATAATTTAGAAGAGAAATATGGTAATTAATATATTTAATATATAGGTCGATGTTTTTCAATTTTGATATATTCAATAGGTTCATTTGTATCTCATTCATTTTTACATGCTGATGATTATTTATTAGAATTAAGATCTCCTGAAAATCATATACTTGCATATTTATTACCTCCTTCTTATACTCCTCCTCCATTAATTCCAGATCCTTAGGTTATACCATTAAGTAGAACTTTAAATCATCCATTACATGCTTCTTAACCTATTCAATTGTAATTATTATTTTTATATTAGTTAACAATCACCTTAATCTAAAATCTTGGATTATCCAACACAATATTCATCTTATTATGCTAATAAATATTATGATGGATATTATAGAAGAGGATATTGGTGAGAATTAATGAAATTAATGATATTGAATAAATTCTTATTTTATTTTATTAATAAAAATTAACAATTGATGTAGTCTTTTAGAAATGCTACTATTCTATAATAAGAAAGACCAAGAGGTGGAAGTGTAAATGCAAAATCATTTCTAAAGAATGCACAAAATATTAATAAAACAGAATCATAATCGTTTTTATTATAAGGAAATAATTCAAAAAAGACATTCGAATCTTAAATACCTAACAAAAATTAATCCTCTTAACATGATCCTCATTTAAGTTATTTAAATAATTTATAAAGCACTGAAAAATTAATAAAAACACAGAAATTATCTACATTAACTACAAAATTCTCAACTCAAAATTTGAAATATTTAAGTCCATCAAATTAAAATACTACAAAAATAGATATACCATCTGATAATAAATAATTATTTATTCAAACAGCAAGAGTAAATTCATTATTATAAGAAATATCTGACATAAAACTACAAAATGAAAAAGTTAAATAGTTTTATTAATCTTAAATTCATAATCTTTAAAACACTTAAGACTAATTAAAAATTGAAAATATCAGTTTATCTAATTCTATTAAAGGATTAACTCAATAACTTTCTGATGCTAGATAAATTATGTAAAGGATTTATTAATAAACAGATCTTGAAGAATTAAATAATTCTTTTGATTAGATTGATTTTAATAATAATCCTAATATCTAATAGGCTTTATATCAATTTTAATCAGAAATATTTCAATTCATTTATGAATATTAAAACTAAACAAATTAAAAAATTCAATTGAAATAATAATAACTTAACAAAATCATTATTAAGTTGAATTAAATTATATAAAAATAAAAAGGATATGATCATAAATCGATTATTAATGATTTATAATAGACAAATAATAATCTTTTAACTAAAATAAAATCTTAAGAAGTTTAATTGAAATTTGTTCATTAGAAATCTACTGATCAAATTAGTAATTAACTTGAAGAATAATTTAATGAATTCAAAAAACATCATTAATCTATTATAAATAATCTGGAATAGGAGAAAGAAATTGCATATGAATAAGAAACATAACTAAAAAAAGAATTTTAAATGAGGATACAAAAATTAGAATAAGAACTTAGTATCTTATTAGATGAAAATTAGAAAAAAGAATAACTGATATCTGATTTAAATGACTTGAATCAATCAAAAGTACTTCAAGTAAATTTATTAATATATTTAGATTTAAAAATAAGAAGAAATATAGTAATTAACACATAAATTATAAGAAAGTATGAATATATAAGTTAATCTAAATGATTAAATTGTATTATTAAAATAAAATTGTAATAGTCTATTAAATGATTTTGAAAAATAACAATTTGAAATATCAAAATTATAAAAAGATAAATAATATTTTCAAACATAATTTGAAAATTAACAAATAGAAAATATGGAATTAATGAAATAATAATAATTATTAAATGAAAATCATTAAATCTAACTTGATTCATTGAACAATTAATGGTAATAATAAAATTATGCATTATAAGAAAAATTAAAAATTAATGAATCAAAATTAAATAAATTATATGACAATAGTAATACATTATAAAAATAAAAATAAGAACTAGAAAATCTATTAAAATAATCTTAAAATGAAACAAATAAATTCAAAGATTAAATAGATTAAATATAATAATTTTAAATTAAAATTAATAAATAAAATTAAACCATTTAAAATTTAATTTAATAAAATTAATCTTATGAAAATATGATTAACAAAAATGCATCTGAAAAAAAGATATTAGAATAATAAATTGTTGAATTAAAACAAATTTCATAAAATAAATAGGTGTTAGAGAGAAATATTATAAATGAAGATAAACAATCTGAAATTAAAACACTTTAAATAGAGAATTCTGAATTAACAAAGTAAATTAAATAAGAGTAATTAAATTAATAATAACTCAAAACTTAAATAGTTAATTTATAAAATGATATTATATTATATCAACAATAAAAAACATAAATAGAATAATAATTAGATAAATAATAAAAAAATAATTAAGAATTACTAAAATAAATGGAGGAAGTAATTTAGAATAATTTAAATTAATAAGATCAATAAGCTAATGAATGGCAAAATTAATTCAATATACTATCTAAAAAATATAATTAATCTGACTAAAATCTATAAAATGCACTTTAAGAAAATAAAGAGTTAGGTGAAAGGGTTTTAGAATTAGAATAGAAATTAGAAGAAGAAATAGATAGAAATCAATAATTAATTGAGGAAACTAAAAAATATTAAATTGATTCAAAATAAAAGGATGTTTAAATATGTCAATTTAAATCACAAATATAAATATTAAATTAGCAACTTAACAATGAGAAATCTGAGTAAAAAGTCAATCAATAAAATGAATCATCAACTGGGTTTGCTTAAGTGATAAAGGAATATGAAATTCAAACCAAACATTTAGAAGAAGAATAAGAAAAATGGTAGTTGTAATAAAATGCTTATATTTAAGAAATAGAATAATAATAATTAAAAATATAATAGTATGAATATGAATCAAAGGAAAATTAAAATTTTTAAAGATAACTTAATGAAAAGCTATAAGAAACATTAAAAAAATTAGAATAGATATAATAATAATTACATGATGAATAACTTAAATCTCAGTTGCTAATGAAATAGTTATCAAGCATATCTGAAAATAAGAGTTCTTCTTAACCTAATTAAGATTTAATGGATCTATTTGATGTTTAATAATCTCCAAGAGGTCAACAAATAGGAACTGTTTAATTGCCTGAAACAAACTAATCGGAAGAGTAGATTTCTATTTTATCATAGTAGGTCCAATTATTATAGTAACAAATAAAATAATAGAATGAAAGTTTAGAAGAGAAAGATGTAATGATTAATGAGATAAATGAATAGAAATCATAATTAGAGAATAGTTAGAATAAATCAATTGAAAAGATTAATGAATTAGAGAATGAAATATTAAATTTGAAATAAGAATTATAAAATTTAGATCAATTAAATAAAGATATTAATCATTATTAATAAAAGATGTCTAATTAATAAAAGATAATTGAAAGTTTATAAAATTAAGTTGAAGAATTATAAATAGAATTATAAGAATAAGAAAGTAAAGTAAAAATGTTAGGAACTATATAATAATCAAATGAAGAATAACTAATTTTTTAAGAATTGATATCTTAAAAAGATTAAGAGATTTTAAATTTATAAGAGGAATTAAAAAATCTTCAAAAAAAAGTAGAATAAAGAATGAATAAATCTGTAATTAGTAATGGATCTAAAAGGAGTTAAAATATTGTAAAATTTGAATAATTTGCAGATCTTGATGAACATGATGTTTCTGTTGAATCAAATGAAGAAGATTTAATAATTGAGAAATTATAATTACAAAAAGTAATTAAAGATAATAATGATAAAATTATTCAATTAGAATTATAATTACAAAATTTAAATCTACATTATTCAAAGGAATTATAATAAAAAGAAAAAGATATTATAGATCTATAAGAATAATTAAATAAATTCAAAGAATAATATTAAGATAATGAAAATACAGAGATTGATATTTAAAAATAATAGAATGAAATTTTGGATTTATAGAAAGAGATTGAAATTCAAAATTAAATGATTTAATAATTAATAGATGACAAAAAGTATTAATTTATATTATAATTTAGACTTCTTGAAGAGATCATCCAAACTTAATAGAATAAAAATGAATCTATCAAGGAGCAATCTCAGTTTAATGAAATTAATGATTGGTTTAATTGATTATATTCATTTTATTATTATTGCTGTTTTCAATAAATGATCATATGTATTGTACTGTAGGTTAAGAACTAAAAAAGTTTGTATCAATAACATCTAATGATAATTTTTATGAATTCCAACATTATTTAATTATTTTATTATTTCTTGAAGTAATCTTAACATTAGTAAACAATTTATCAAATCTTGATTAAGTATTACCATGATCTGATATAGGATGAAGAGAATCACATAATACAAATCCTTATTATGCTTTAATTTTATAGAATTAATCCACACTCTAAGAAACTGATTTAGAATGAGAAGTCATAGGAGTACTTAAACATTATTTTAATATTTCCATTTTCTATTAAATTTAAGGACTTATAACACGCAATTATCTTTTACTCATAGTAAGAAATGGTAAACTATTTTAATCTGTTTCTTCATATTAATTATTTGTTTCTTTAGGTATAAAAGTACGTTTAATTTAATCTAGTAAATCTTTACTATCTTTTTAATATTTACTAAAAAAAGGAGTCTTTCCTCTAATTTTAATATAAATTATATATACTTAGGTTTTTTAGGTTAAAATTATTCAAATTATTTTTCAACTCTAATTAATAAGCATTTTTAGAAATTATCACCAGCCATTTTTAACATATTAAATTCTTCTTATTTATTAGAAATCTTATCATTTTTAGAATGTTATAATGCAATTGATTGATTTTATTCAACCATTTATTGTTTAGTCATTTTTGGATGAATTGAAGATCTTAATATAGGAGATGATATTTTAGATGATTTAATTAATTTTGGTTATTAATTAATTTCAATGTCATTTAAATATCTTCTTTCAATAACATTATTGTCTTCTTTCTTATTAAAATTAAGATTTAAAACTTTAGTTTAAATAATTTCATTTAATCTTTTTTTATATAAATTTAGATTTTTCTAAGAAAGTAATGAAAGAGGGTTAATGAATTCAGGAAATTATCTTTTAATTATCAAATAATTATCAAGGTTTAAAACATATACATTACATTAAGTAACTGTTTTAACCGTATAATCTCTTTTATCATTTTAAAGATATATCTCAGTTTCTCCAATAAAACATCCATCAGTTAAATTAGCTAACTAAAATATAAAAATTAGAAATATTACAGTAACAATATCTATTTAAGAAGTCTTTTCTTTTTTAGGTTCAATAATTAATTGATTTTATTCTTGTTTTAGATAAGGATGAAAATCAATAGTTTTTTATAATAGAATTTCTCCTTCTTTAAGTAAGAAGAATCCATCTACAAAATCATTTTATTTCCAAATTTTATAATTTGGTGGATATTTGTATTATGAAAAATACATTATCAATTTACTAATTTTAAATTTAGTCATAGAAGGAAACATTTTAAGAAAATATTCAATTTTCTCTTATTATGATTTGATTTATTTTTCAAATATTTTCTAATTAAATAATATTATACAATTTACTTTAAAATTAGATTTATTTAATGTTAATACTTAAATATCAGTAATAGTTATTATACTAGCAGCTCTAGGTTTATCAGTAGTTAATGCCATATCACCAAAGTATTAACCAGAATGAAGTTAAGAGATTTATTAGAATTTACAAATTCCATATATTGTAAAATACATATCAAAATTACCTGTATTTAATAATAATAATTCAGATTCAATTTGTTTAAGTGGTTTAGTTTATTTTTTAATTAATTTTTCATAAAAAGAGTATCTTGATTCTAGTTCAATTTCTTAAATGGAATTAAGTTGCATTTTATCTAAATACTATTAAATTTTAGGTAAGATCTCTTATTCTTCAGTTTCAATTTATTATTATTATCTTTTAATATATACTGCAGCTGTTCCTGTTAGAATAATATAGAATTTGTCTCCTTGATCACCTAATATAGGTTTATGAGATACCTAAATTAAATACAGCATTATATTTTTGATATTTCTCATATTACAAATTTTATGATATTAACCTTGTAAATTCAAATAATGTGCTTGTTTCTGGACACCATGTTTTAAATATTTCTATATTTTACATTATTCCAGATATAGAATCAATTTACATTTCTGTCATATTTTGATAATCTTTATAAATCTAAATAACAGGCTGATAATATTAGTTATATTATTACAGCATACATCAATTCTTTAGATGTGATTTCATCATCTATATCATTATGAACTTCTTTAGTATTAGTTTTTCTTCTACTCATGTATTATTGATATTAATAAAAATCAAATGGAAAAATAACATTCTGTAATTTTTACAATAGGTGTCCTATTATCTTTTTTGTATAAATTAATCATCTATTTATTAGGTTTAGTTCCAAATTTGATATCAATGAAGGTACTCTTAATATTAAATTAACTATATAAACAATCTAATGGATTATGATTTCTCTGATTTTGGTTGTTATTTAACATCTATATTCAAGAAGAAAGATTCCTTCGCAGCCTCAATAAGAAATAATTCTAAAACAAATAAAATTTATAGATTCGCCCATGCGGCCAAGAAAGTAAGCTGCTTTAATTGACAAATTAATTATATTAAGCAAGTAAGATTATTGTGTTGACATGGGCGAATAATTGAAATCAAAGATTACTTAAATTTAAACAGATTTTAATGAAATTTCTATAACATCTAGTTTAAGGAAGAGATCAAATTTCATAGCAAATGAAGGTTTATAAAGAAAGGTTTTATTTGATGAAAGTTAGAATAAAATCCATACTTATTATAAAAATAATAAGTAGGAAAATAGAAATTTTGAATCCAGTTTTTAGGCAATCAAATAAGATAAAAAGAAGAAAAATGAATTAGTTAAATAGAAAAGAAAGGAAGAAAATTTTAAGAAGTTGAATATTAATGATATCAATAAGATAAGAAGAAAAAGAAAATCTTCTTTAGATGAGAATTTATCCCAATTCTCATATTGATCTATTATTTAATTATAATAATCATATTAATTTTTTTACTCAATATTTTACTTGAACATTTTGTAATGTAAATAATTTTTTAAGTAAATAATGTCAAACACTCTCTTTCAAAGAAATAGCAATACTAATATTTTTTAAACAAGCATACCTAATTCTAATTCCTGGACTATACCTTAGTATATTATTTTCTCATTTTAAGAACATAAAGAAAACGTGATGTCCAAGGTTCATATAGAGCCAAATTTGAATAAATCAAAATTCAGGTTGTGGATGACAAAAATGTATTATCTACTTCAATTATCTTTTAACCTTAATATGAAAAAATGGTAATCTTACCTATTAATTCTAGACAATAATAATGATAAGATTAGAGGATTATTATTTGATTAGAGCTTAATAAATAGATGATTATCATATAACTATTATCCAAAATGCAATTCATTAAAAAAGATTTAATTCTTCTATAATTTCCAAAGTGGCTGGTTAAGGTAAATCTACATTCTACATTAGTTATCAAAGTACCTGTATTTCAAATATAAAAAAGTGCTAATTCAATATGGGAATCCAATAATCAATCTTAATTATAACAAAATATATTTAATACAACTAGTTCCTCTTTCAATGATAATAGATAATAAAATAATTTTTTTAGTTCAATTAACAACTAAAATAATTAGTAATAAAAGTAATTTGAAAATATATTTAATACTGCTCCAACCAATACTAATTCATTCAATATATTCTCTAATTCTAGATAAGATTAATTATAATCAAATATTTTCAACTAAAATGTTTTTAATAATAATAACAAATCTCAATCAGAATACAATAATTATTAATCAAAAGAATAAAATCTTCCTTGGATGTAATAAACATAGAATATATTTTAATAAAACAAACCCTAATTACAAATTTAAATTCCTAATTAATAATCATTTAATTCAAATAATGATGTTATCTAATTTAATAATAATCAATCTATTAATTCAATATTTTCTTAACCATAATAATTATAATTATAATAAATGAATAATATATAATCACCATTTTTCTAATAATAATAATAATAATAATTATTATTTTATTAATAATAATAATAATAATCATAATTTTAATAATAATTGTAAATGATTCCTTTACAGATGTCTTAATAACTATATCAACCATTTTAAAATATAAATAACATCAATTTGTTATCTAATGATTTACAAATGATATCATATTAAAATTAAATGAATCCTATTTAATTTATTAAATAATCAGTAGATATGATAAACACTTTCACAACCACATTAAATAACTCTATCTAAGAAATGGAGAAATTGTATAAATTAGAAGAAGATAAATATTTAGAATAAGAATACCTTATTAATTAACTTGAATAAAAAAAAAGAATTGAAAGATTAAAAAAATAATAAGAAATCAATTTATTACCTAAAAAGAAAAATGATTCACAAAATCTCTTTAGAATCATTCCCTCATCTAATAATATTACTATACCCATTAGTTAAAAAAGTTCAAGAATTAGCATATAATAATAATAATAAGTTAATTGTGGTAATAATGTAAGCAAAATTTCATAAAAATCAATCAAGACTAAAAAAGAATATATTATTGAAATCTATTTTGAAGAAAGTGAAAATTTTATCACATTCAATGAAGAATTTAAAGATATTAAATCAAAAAATGATTTTAAAGAACAAATTCTTTAAAAAATTGATTTAATGTAAGTCTTTAAAAATGATAAAGCTGCTTATTTTGCAAATAGTGAATTTATTATAGATGAAAACAATAATTAAGATAATCATTAAACTTTATCATTTCGAATATAATAAACTTATAGGCCTATCTTAACAAAATAAGGATATTACACATTACCTGATATCAATTAATTAACTATCAATCAATTAAAACATGTTGAAGATTTCACAATTTATAATGAATTTGGATCATTGAGATGGGATACTCCAACAAATTTATTATATTTAAATTTAGATAGAATAGTTGATATATAAGATTCCAAGGTAGAAGTATATGATTTAGATCAAATTCATGAATATCTGAAACCAAAAGTTAATAAGAAATTAAATAAATCATGTTTAATTACTTTGAAGGTTCCAGTCCCAATTAATCAAGAGAATTATGAAAAGGAACATAAATTTCTATAATAAAAATGCAAAGAATAAAATATTGAATTAGTAGAAATAGATTAAATAAAATAATAATTTGTAGTTAGAGTTGATCATTTCTCCATTTATACATTTGTACATGATGAAAATGAAGAATAACAATAATAATAATAATAATAAACATCAAATTAAAATAATAATTAATAATAATAATTAATTGATAACACAGAGAATATTAAAAATTTAGAATTTTATGAGAATCATGCACTATTCTTACAATAAGTTAATGAAATTAGTAGTTTAACAAAATAATCTACTAATTTAAAGATTAAAAAAATTAATTAAACAAAAAGATAAAATATAGAACTAGTGTAAGATTTCTAGATTTGTGTAAATAATAAAGAAATAATTAATATTGATTATCAGATATGTCAATTTTTCATGTAAGGATTTGAAATTTAAAAAGAAAGTCCTATAGAAAATATATTTTGTATCAAATTATTGAAATGTTTATTCACATTAAGAAAAGATATATAATCTAATTTAGTTATTAATGAAAAGAGATTACTAGGATAGAGATTGTAGTATTATAATATATTATTTGGGAATTCACTTATACAACTTCAGGATTATATTGAATTTTTGGAATAACATCCTGGTTAATTTGATTTTTCAGATATAGAATAATTTTAGAGACCTAATTAATTTTAATAAGGATTAAGTTTAGTTTTATATTTAGAATAAATTTTAGCCTCTAGAATAAAAGACTAAACTGATAGTTCATACACAGAAAAAGTAATAAAAGAAATAAAGAATAAAAATATTTTAAATTAAACTTAGAAATAATAATAAATTTTATAATTTTTATCTTCTCTACCTTCACAAGAGATTAATTTACCCTTTAAAGTGGATGATTGGATTAGTATGATATTTGAATGGAAAGTTTAACAAAATGCTGTCTAATATTCATAAGAATGGTGGTTAGGTTTATTAAATTTATTGGAGTAATGTGAAATTTAATCTACTGAATTAGCTTCACTCATGTACTTTTTATATTCAAAGTTTAATCGATCTTTAGAGAAAATCTATAATTATTTAAATTAAAATCATAATTAAATGTCTTTATTTTTAGAAATATTAATTTATAATTATGATAAAGCTAATATAAAAATACATAAAAGAATTATCACAAATAAATTAACATTTTTAATAGAAAATAAAGAAAGTAGTGAGTTTATTTTGTAAATCTTAGAATAATTTTAAGATTTATTTAGTTTAAGTGAAATACAAAAATATAAAGGATCAATAGCAAAAATGCAAAATACATTATTTTACTTAAATAGTTTTGAAATAATAATTGATGAAGAAGTTTATTTATAAAAATTAATTGATCAATAAGATTTTATAAATTTAGGAAATTATATATTATAGTTAAATTCCCCTAAATTTCAAAAATATGTTAAATTTTTATTTGAATTCACAATTCCAATTTTAATAATATTTGGAGAAATTAAACTACTGGAAAGTATCAACAAGAAATTAAAGCACAAAAAAGACATTTATTAAATGAAAAAAAGAGAAAAACAAATATTAGATATGAGTGAAGTAATATATTAAGTTTATAGTTTTAGGTATTCTGTGGAACTATGATATATGAAAGTCAAATTTTTTAAGATTTTGAATCAAAAAATGTTTTTGAATACTAAATGTTATAAGTGTTAAATGATTATTATTTTACATGATAAATGTAGATATAAAATTTGATTAAATATAAAATCACATGCATTCATACATGAATATTAATGCTTTGTATTATTACAATTCATCTAAACCATTTTGCATTAGATTGATATAATCTTGGGAGTATGCATTTTGTATTTTATTTAATGCTTTAGTCAATTATTCTTAACCAATTTATTTTAATAGTAATTGATAAAGCAATTCTTTTGGTGTTTCACAAATAATATCTTCATCATCTTGAAAACTTTCTCTTTCTCCATTTTCATTTGATGCATTCGATTTCTATTCTAAACTATCATCATCTTCTCTATCTACACTTTCTCTAACTGATTGTTATATATTTATTAAATCACAATCACCTACATTAATTACTTATGAATGTTTAACATCACCACCTTCTGCGGCTATAACTATATCTTCTAATTCTGCTAATAATTGTGATGCTTCATCTTCTTATTCATCAGAATTTTTTGATGCTTCTTTAATAATTTCTTAGATTTCAGATTATGTATTACTATTTCTTTATCTCTTCATTTCCATTAATTATTTCATCTTTTCTCTATCATCTTTGTTATCATTTTTTATTTCTCTTATTTCTTATAATATAAGTTGACTTTCCTTTAATTATTATTTACTTGGTTTAACTGATTCAGTTTTTTAGATTGGATCACTTTATTATTAAGTAGGAGGAGGTTGGGAAATATATTATGCTACTTGTACTCTTTCAGTTTAAGGTGCTTAATATACACTGTCTCTTTATTCTTTTTGATCTCTAGAGGATGAAGGATATTATTATTATAATTATTGTTCTATTTTTTATTGCAAATCAAATTTTTATTATTATTATTATTATTATTATTATTATTATTATTATTATTATTATAATTATTATTATTATTATTATTATTATTATTATTATTATTATAATTGTTATTATTGTTACTATTATTATTAATTCTATTATTATTATTATAAATTATTATTAATTGGTTCTAATCTAATTGGGTCTTTGATTGACACAGGATCAGATTATTATTTTTAAAATTTATATTGTATTTATGGTTATGAATACGGTTCTCTAGATAATTTAGGTAATTCATACTTATCTGGTTATAAGTATTTTAATTTATTTTCTTAAAGTTATTAAAATTTTTCTTCATTTCTTTTAATTTATTATCTGACTTATTCTCTTTATATTTCAAATGGAGATTTGTCTCTATTATCTTTATTAAATGGAGATTTGTTTAATGGTGATCTATCTTCATAGTAAGGTGACTTCTCATTTCTTTAAGGATTTAATGGTGAAATATTAGGTCTATTATTAATTTATAATGGTTAAATTTATTATTATTATTATTGTTATTATTGCTATTATTGCTATTTATTATATTGGTATTTCTAATAATTCATATATGGATTATAATTTTATTATGCTGGCTTAGATATGTAATCGTAATTCTAAAATATTTAATAAAATATTTACTTATGGTAAATGCTATTAATATAATTATTTCTATTTTAATAAATTATTTTATGGCTATCCTCTTGCATTAAATGCTAATAAATAATTGCTAGGTTATTATTATTATTATTAATATTATTATACTGGTTATTGTTATTAAATTTTGCCAAGATTTGGTTATGAACATACACTTCTCAACTCTGTATCATATGGAACTATCAAATTATGATTAACAAAATTTTATTTGTGTAAAATAGTATGGGAAAACTCAACATTTCTAATACTTTCAGATAAGACACTTCTGATTCTGTTAACAATTATTGGCCTAAATTAATAAATGAAATATACATCTTTAAGACTTCATGAATATTTGGTCTTCTGTTTGGATCAACTTAGAGTAAAGAGGAGATTAATTATCTCATATTAGTGGAAAATTTATCAGGAATAGGATTATATTGACCTCTAACAATTTTAAGGGCTAATCCATGTAAGGATTCTGCGTTAAATGGAGGTTTAAGTGCACAGAGTTCATAGAGTATAATGCCCAAAGACCAAATATCAGTTTTGAATGAATAATCTTTACTTTCAATAATTTCAGGGGATAAATAATATGGAGTTCCTACAATTGTTTTGCATTTTTCTCTTGTATGATTTAAAACTCTAGCAATTCCAAAATCTCCAAGTTTAATAATACCATCTTGAGTCAAAAATATATTTTAGGTTTTTAAATCTCTATGGATGATTTTTCTATCATGAACATGTTTGATAGCTAAACATATTTAAGTGAACCAATCTAGTATTTATACTTCACTAAATAGACAGGAACCTGTCTATTTGATTTTATTGCTTAAATCACCACCATCTGCATAATCCATTACAATGCATAACCTACCTTTTTTTGTTTTATAGACTTCTCTAAATTTAACTATATTAGGATGTCTTAAAGCTTCTAATATTCTTGCTTCTTTAATTGTTTCTCTTCTTTCATCTTCTTTCATTTAATTTAAATCTACTTATTTGATGACACAAAGAGTTCCATCTTGAATGCATTCCACCAAATATGCCTTTCCAAAAGAACCTTCTCCCAATAATTTGATTCTTCTATAAATCTCATTTTCATTCTATGACATTGTTTATTTTTGAATTTAAATTAACTAGTATAATTAATTGTTAATTTATTATCGAAATATTTAATCTTGAGTTCAATACTGTTTATTATTGTATATTATATCACTAATCTGATAATTAGGCTACATTAAATCTTAGATCTTATATCTCTCCATCTTTATCCATACATTATTGTCGTAATCCTTCACATTCTCCAAATAATACTGTCAACATCACTGTTTGATCTTGTACTCTATATTATAATAATACATAATTACATTTTCTTCACTTTCTCTAATTCTTATAAATTTTATTCTTAATCTCTAATTTTCTTTTGTAATTCATCTGATCTATTCAATTCCTGTTCATATTTAGGTTATACAATTGCGTACTTTAATATTATAAATTATTAATACCTTCTCTTCAAATGGAGTTAATTGATGGATCTTGTCCTCTAATTATGGAAGTAGATTTTACAATTCATTTAATTCTTAAAGTTTTTGATTCAAAGTAGAATTTAATCTATCTTAATCAATTTTATATTATTTATTGTTATTTTCGAATTCTAAAATTTTAGCCTTTAAGATTTAATATTAATTATTTATTTATTCCAATTAATTTAATCTCTATAATGATTCTTAATATTATTATTATAGATTCTTATATTTAGTATCTAATAAACCATTATTTTGTTTCAATTCTTCATATGCCTATAATTTATCATTTAATTATCTAGTTAATTTTTCAACTTCTTTTTAACTTTAATTTAATCTATTTTCAACTTCTTTGTATCTAGCTTCATTTTATTTCAAATCTAAAATTGTAATTTCTGATTTAGCAATCTATTGTCTCATCTAATCATTTTCATTTTATTAATAAGTGACTTCCTTTTTAGCTCTATTTAAATCATTTTATAATCCTTTGATTTAGGTTTCTAATTGATTAATTTTATCTAATGATTATTGTAATTAACTTTAAATTTACTCAAAATTTAGAGTTTTCTATCTTTCATTATCATATGATCTTTATAAATTATGTAATCTAGTTTCAAGTGAATTTATGCTATCATCTCTATTTCTTAATAATCCTTCTGTTTAATTCAATATCCAATTTAATTAATCAATATCCAATTATTTCTATCTTAATTATTTAGTTAATCTTTCAATATCTTATTATAATCCTTAAATTCTATTTTCTAATAATCTATTTTTTTCTTCTAATTATCTTTTTTCATCAACTATTGGTTCTAGTTTTGAGTATTTTAATCTCCATTCATTCAATTCATTTGTTCTTGAATCCAACAATTATCTTAATCTTGCAATATCATCTAAATGAGTTTATAATTTCTTTTCTAATTCTCTTAACAAAGGTTCTAGATTTTTAAGTTTATTAATTTCATTTTCCATTGAAATTATTTACATATTCAATTTATCATTTTCAGATAGTTTCTAATTCAAGAATTCATTTAATCTTTGTATTTCTTTAGCTAATTCTTTAATGATATTTTCTAATTCTTAAATTTTAAATTCATTTGATTTAGATTATAATAATTATAATTCTTATTGTGCAAGTTTTCTTTTTAGATCATCTACTAATTATGTTAATTCATTAATTCTAGCAATTAGTTATTTATTTTATAATTCAACTCCTTTTAGATCACTAAGAAGATAATCTAATTATGCATATCTACTTTGCAATTCTAATAATTATTATAATCTTAATTTATTTTAAGCTAATAATCTTTAGATTTCATCATTTTTATTGGCTAATTAATTATTCAAAGTATTAATCATAGATTCCATAATTTATTTATCCACTTAAAATTAATTTAATTAATCTCTAAGATCTGCAATATCTTTATCTTTTCCTTCTAATTAATCATTAGCACTTTTAAGTTCACCTACATTATCATTAGATTTTGAATATAAATCTTAAAGTTATCTTTCCAACATTTCTTTTGAATTTTAGAGTGACATAATTTAATCTTTACATTCCATAATTTATTCATTTAATTAATTAATTTAATCTTCATATCTCTTAAGTTGATCATTAGCTTATTATAATTATTATTTCATGAAATCTAATTCATTCTTTCTATTTCTTAATTCATTTTATAATTTCTCATTTTCCTTCATTAAATTATTATATCTAGATTATAAATCTTATAATTGATTATTTAATGTAAAATTATCTTATTCTAATCTCTAAAGTTTTTCTTTTAATGCTTAAATTTATGCATCTCTATCTCTTAATTAAGTAGCTTATCTATCAAAATCTGATTGTAATTATGAAATTCTATTTTATAAATCAGTAATTTTAGATTCATTTCCTGATTGAAGACTTCCAAGATTATTAAATTATCCTTCTAATTTAGCATATTTATTTTTCCAATCATTTAAATCTCTATCTCTATTTTATAATGTATTAGTTAAA